CTGGGATTTCAAGTCTGTTCCTTACAGGGCTGGGGGCTGATTTCTTAAATACTGGCTTAAACAATTTTTCCAGCATTGCCCTTTTGCCAAATGGATTTTCTTGCGTTCCTGAGTGCTGTTTTGTTTCTGCAATATCTGTGTCAGAGCCTTCTTTGTCTTGCAGATGACCTCCTGGCAGTGCAATTGCCTGAGCTCTGATCAGCCTGCTCCTCTTAGCTCCTGGAGCTAACAGTGGGAATGACATGCTATTAGTAATCAAATTAATATAATCCAAAAACTAATCCTAACAGTCTTTACTTGCTTCTCCTTCAGAAGATATCCTGGTTCTAATAATTCTCTATAGCAAGCAATTCTAAATCTCTTAATGGATGTTCTTGGATTTGAATGGCCTGACACTGCTGCTGCTGCTTTTACAGGGTAATGGGATCAATCCAGCACCCAAGGAAGGAGCAGGGAAAACCCATCTGCATGTGGTGCCTTGAGCTTGGCTAAGCAGGCGTTCTCACTCTAATAAAGCATGTGGTAAACCTGCCATTAGTGAGGATTTTGATAACACAGGGAGCTGTAGCTGATGCAGAAATGTCAGTGTGACTGCTGCAACCTATGACCAGCAGGATGGTATAAAAAACATGAGTTCTTTCTTTGTGCCCGCTGTGCTGTTTTTAGCTGACACTTTAGCTGTAAAAACACATTTGAAAATATAACACTTGAGAGACAGAAGTAAATACTTCAAATTTCCAGAGCCATACAGGTGGAGGAAGTGTTTTTTTCCACTAAAAAAAAAAAAAAAGTACAATTTCCAGTTGCTGTGTGTTTGAAATGCACAATCTTCACTTGCTCAGATTTTTTGTGGTGAAATGAATAAGAAATAGGCAGTGACCTCCCTAAGCAGAGGTGTTGGAACTTTGAGGGGCTGTGACCTAGGTAACCTTGTGCTTCCTTTCTGTCCTCTGGGAAGGCTGCAGGCAGTGTGGATGCCAGCCAGGCAGGGAGCAGGGGCCCAGCAGACCCCTCGAAGCCCATCACCCTGGCCTCCTCCAGGCAGCCTGCCCTCGATCCCAAGGAGGAGGAGCTCTTTGCAGACTCTCAGCCCAAGGTGAGAAGGCAAGAGCACAGCCCAGACCTGGTGGTTAGCGTGGGGATCTTCAACAACCCAATTCTCAGCTTCTGTCTGGCTTCCAGACTGTGTCTAAAACCTTGGCCTGGCTTTTGCCAGCCCATTTCTCTCATCGACACCCCTGAGGCAGTGGTGCCATGTTGCTTTTGTTGTCCTTGCTGTGTCCAAATATCCCACTTGGACAGCAATAGGCTGCTACAGAAAACTTTTCCCCCAGTACATTTTGTCAGCTCTCTTGTGGCAGATGCTTCTGACAGTTTAAAAGGACATTTGGTTCCTTTTTTTTCTCTTTTAAGTACAGGGCACTGTGAGGCTGTGCCCATCACATTAAGGCTTTTTGCACTGGTGTCTATAGGAACACAAGCTGTATGAGCAGACATTAAGAGTTTTTATTTAAAAGGGACCTCATATCTCTGACCAGCACCACTTCTTCAACACCTTGCTTCAGTTTGAAGCTGGATATTGCTGTGAATGCAAATCTTTGTCAGCCTTGATTCTCAGAGTTTAAGTCTTAATCCCTTAGCTACTTAATGGAGGTGTTGGATTTCAGTTAGGCATAAGCCTTCTGTGAACAATTTGATCAGTTTGTGGCTCCAGCTGAGCGTGAATTTGGGGCATAGAGCTGTGCCAGTGAGACAGGCTGTCAGTGCATGTCCTTCCATGTTTGTGCCTTTGTTTCGTTCCAGAACTTGCATCCTCCTGCTAAGAGGAGGGTGCCAGAGTGGTTTGGGACCTCGGCAGCGACAGCTGGAACTATAACCCAGACCAAGAAATGCAAAACAGAAACCAGAAAAGGGATTTTCAGTTGAATGTGGAAATCAAGATTACTTGTTTCTTAATCATCTTTCCCACCACTGCGAGCATTATCTGCAGACTGTTGCTTCACAGGGGCTTTAATTGCCCCTGCTCTGCCTTATTCCTGCTGCTGCCTCCTCTCTTCCTCAAGCAGCACTTTTAGCACTTTTTTTCACTGTGTGAAACGGGACGTTAATAAAAAGATTTATTTAAATAACCGTTTTTTGCGGGATTTTATTTTTTTTTCGCGCGGGTGAGGGGGCTGAGGGCGGGCAGGCCGCGTTGCCATGGCGGCGGGCGGGCCGCTTCCGGGGCGGGGCGCGCGGGGGCTGCCGGGAGCGGCATGGCTCGCTAGGCGGCGGCGCGCGGGTGAGCGGGCGGGGGCCGCCGTGAGGGGACGGGGCAAGGAGCGGCCCCGGGACGGGAGCGGAGCGGGGGGACGCGGCAGCGCCCGCCCCGCTCTGTGCGCGGCTACACGGGCGGCGAGGCGCCGGCATCCTCCGGCCGCTGGTTTCCGGCCGGCCGCCCGCCGCGCTGCCACTTTGTTCCGTCCTGCCGCTGGCCGTGCCTCGTCGGGCTGGTACCCGGCTCTTCTATCCCTGTTCGGCATTCCCGTGCACGCTCCTTAAGGTTCCGGCAGTGCGCTGACGCCTTTACGCTGTTCCTGAAGTCCGCACTGGGGAAAAGGAGGAGCGAACAAGAAATAAAATTGCTCCCGGGGGATGTGGTCGCGGCACCGACCCTGCCACAGCTCACGGGGCACTTGGACAACGCTCCCCGGCCCAGAGTGGGGTTCTTGGCGTGTGCTGTGTGGGGCTGAGTTGGACTCGGTGGTGGGACCCTGTGGCTCCCGTCGAACTCGGCGTATTCCGTGATAAACAGTTGCTTCTGCTCCTTAAATACCTGGGTGACGCCGACACCTTTTTCTCGCCTTTTCCCCGTGGCAGAATCATGGACCCCAGCTTGCTGAGGGAGCGGGAGCTGTTCAAAAAGCGAGCTCTCTCCACGCCGGCCGTAGAGAAACGCCCAGCGCTCTCCTCGGACTCCTCTGCTTCCAAGAAGAAGAAGGCCAAGGTAGAACAAGGGGGCTCCTCCAGCTCCAAACAAAACACAGGTGGGTGGAAGTCTCCTGTCCAGCAGCTGCTTGGTGTTTCCTGCTCTTTGCCTTTAAGCCCTGGTTTACTCATGTGAATAACGCTGTATCTGTGAGTTTTGCTGGTGGCTGTTGTCATTGTTTTCTCTTCAGTTACCACTTTTGTTAAGGAAGTCACTTGCCACAGTGTGAAAAACCCATTCCCTGCTGTGCATCTGTGTTAAGCCTCATCCTGTGGCTTGTTTGCCGTTGTTCTGTTGGAGGAATCACTACTGCCAAAATTATTGATGTGAAACTATGCTTTGGATGTGCTTTTGGAAACTGTGAATTTCAGTGCTTGCTGGACAGGCAGCGGCAATGGTGCCATTCATTTTCTCTGTGTTTGCTGTGTTGGACAGGGCCTGGGGCAACCTGGTCTAGTGGAAGGTGTCCCCATGACAGGGGTTTGGAACTGGATAAGCTTTGGGCTCCCTTCCAGCCCAAACCATTCCTGATTCTGTGATTATTTCTGGAAAGAGAGTGCCTAAAACATTTAGGTAACTGTAAGTTGGAGGGTATTCGTATCTGAGGTGGATTTTGCCAGGTGCATCTTGTTTGGCTTGCATGTTGCAATTAGCAGTTGTCCTTGTTTCACCTGGGAGCCAAGCTTTGCTCATGAGTACCAGACATTCCAGGGGTTTCTGCCTGTTTTACTGAGGAGTTGTGGCATTTCCCTGGGGTGGTGGCACTGATAATGAGTCTCCCAGTATCAAATAAACAGTTAATAAAGCAGCACCAAAGATAGTGGGAGTGTGTGGAAAGTGCAGCACCGGGGAGAGGATTTGCTCCGAAAGCAGTGGCAGTTCTCAAATGCACTTTTAAGGTCAGATTAAATGCCAGGAGTTACTAAACCACAAAATACCCTGTTGTGCAAACTCAGTCCACGCTCATATTTTGAATAATACCACACATAGCTCTCTCCTAAACTCCAGAAGAAACAATAGGGCTAAAAACAACAGAGTTTGGGAGGAGTGAAGCATCTTCTGTCCCAGGAGAAGGGTTTGGAATTTGGGTATGTGTCTGCAGCTTCTCAGGCACCAAATAAAGTATCAGCCGGACATTCTAAAATAAATCAAGGGAGGCCAGGTTTCCATCCATCCCTTTTCCACACTCTCCAAATAAAACAAAATTCTGCATGGAATATCCTAGGCTGCGTCACTGGGGTGAGCAGGGTTTGCTGGGGAGTCAGGAAGAGGGCAGAGGGTACAAGTGTGAGCCTGATCTGGAGGATTTGAGCAGCTAAAGAAGGTTTCTGTGGTTTTCGTGGGCTGAGGGTTTTTTTAAGTGCTTTTGTGGCTGTCAGACAATTCACTTACACAAACAGGGACCCAATGTGGCTCTGAGGAGATAAACTTGATCTTTTATGCTACTGGCTGTGTTCCAGGCAGTACCAGAGAGGTTCCAGGGTTCCTACAACACTTTCATGCTGCAGAGTTAAAATCCATCACCTCAAAACCTGCTTTTTTATTTCACTTGCCAGATTAGCAGATGTCTGTCAGGATATGTGGGTGTCAGAGACAGGAGGTGGAATAAAAACCTGATGTTGGGAAATCCCTGTCCCACCACCCCAAAGAGACAAGAACTAGGATGGCCAGTCCTAGTTTTGTTGTGCAGTGGCCACAGAGGTGATGAGGGGAATCACAAGTGTTTGTGTGATAGTCCAAGGGTGTGCAGTGCCTCCCTCATTCTGAGGTTCTGTGCCTCAGAGAGCCAGCCCTTGACACTTTTTGGGGGAGGAGAGGTATGGAGACCATTCTAATCTTCAAGAGACTGCACAGCTAAATCTGGCCTGTCTGTGAAGTCTGCCTCTAAGCTTCCCATTTCCTCTACGCTGATTACTATACAGGCATTGCTATCGTTATTTCAAATCATTATTTAAACAAGTTATTTGAAAAAATTCAAAGCTAGTTTACACAGTTCAGAATAGAAACTGGAAAATAAATGAAATTGATCAAATATGTTCAATTAGTTTTATTAATCAATAGTAACTTGTGGCTATGGTCTTCATTGTAAGACCTTTGTCTCAGTGGTCTCCACTGACAGTCGTCAAGAGCCAGAATCTTCAGGGGCTGTGTTGTGGGAAAGAATCATCCTGAGTCTTCTCTGGTACTGTGCAAGGGGACACCTTTGCCTTCTGTTCCTTGTGCCCACACTCATTCCCCTTTGTAGACGTGTGAAATAAAAAGCTGGGATGAGTCCCAAGATTTGTCATTCCATGTGCTTCTTGGGAAGGCATTGCCAGAGCAGCAGAGGCTGGCATGTGGCACACACTGCCCTCTTGTGTGTGCAGCCATGATGGGCATTTTGTAGGAATGTTGCAAGTGCCCAGAGCATTCCTTTTAGGAGAGAGGCAGGATTTAATTCAGTGCCTCTTGAGCAGGATTTCCCAGTCTGATGCAGCTGCACACAGCAGAAGGTGACGTGTCATCCTCATCACCACTGGCATTATCTTCATCATATATTGCAGTCCTAAATGTTCTTGTATTTGGGGCACTGGCTTCCATCAGTTGTGCTTTTGATTTTGAGCTTGAAGCAGTCTCTGCACGGGGGAGGGGTCCTGGCCAAACTTCACTGTAAGAAGTGTGTCTGAGGTGAATGGTTGTGAGGATTTGTGACTGCAGGAGGGAGTTTGCTTCTCCAGGTGAATCACTGGACTAGCTCTGCTAGTTCTTAGTGCCCTAGATGTCTTGTGTCTCCATCTCCCCAACCAGGAGCAGCACGTGTGAATTAGCAAGTCTTCTACTTTGTCCAGATCTTCTGGAGCTTAGTCATGCTCAACCTGAGAGAGGGATTTGATATATATTAAAAAAAGGGATCATTATAGGTACTAGCCAAGGTTTTTTGGACATGGATGGACTGTGAGGTCACTCATGGCTGTGGCCATTTAGGTGGGTTTTGTTTCCTTCGTTGACAGGAGCGTTTTCTGGGGTTAATATAGTCAAATAACTTGTCCCACATGTAGCTTTGCTCTGGGCCATTTCTGTGGGAGTTCAGGTGTGTGAAGGACTTGCCAGGAGTGAAGGAGCCAGGCTACACTGTTGGACACTGTTATTACAATTGTCACTTGTAGCTACAAAACAAAAAATGGTTTTGAAAGTCATGGACATAGCACAGCTACACAGGACTGGTGAGCCAGAGGTGTGAGAGTTCTGTGGTCAGGACATGAGGAAGGGGTGAGTGTGAGCTCTGGGATGTGTCAGCAGGCAGATGAAGTGAAGTGAGATAAGTGAAGTGAAATTCTCTTGTGCAAAGTGCTGAAAGCTGCACCTGGGCTCGGTGACATCCCCCTCTTCAGTGTGGGAGGTCTGTGGCCCATCTCCCTGTGTTCTTGGCAAGAACTCCGCCAGTTCCGGTTTGGCTTTGAAACTTTGGGATAGGGATGGTAGATCCGGCGTGTCCCACTCCCTGTAGTGTTGTGGTTGCCACAGAAGCAGCAGCCTTGGGGCAGAGAATTGTCCCTGTTCATTTTCAGCAGGATTTTTGGAAAGGGTCAGATATTCTGAAGGTGATGGGTTATGCAGGTCTCAACACCCAGAAACTGTTGGCCAGACTGCATACAGCTCCCTGGAACTGGAGAAGTGGGGGAAGAAAGGGTCAAACTACCCTTTTAGGAGGACTAGAAAAGACTATTCTAGAGATATATTTCTTGTTGGCATAGCCTCCCTCCCACCACCCTCTCTTCTAAAAGCAAAAAAACCCTTAATAAAAAGTGCTGCCAAAGACTAGAACACACACAATCCTCTCCTGCCTGAAGGTCTCTTGCCATTCAACCCTCCTGCCCCAACTTCTTTCTTACCCCTTGTCTGTCTTGTCCTGTCCCTCTGTGGTTGACTCGGTGAGACAACACTGCTGCCTTTGCTTGGAATGTGATCAGACTGTTGGACATTTTATAAACATTTTCTTCAGTTAAGCAACACAGTTTTATGCATGTTAGGCAGCATTTTTTTGGTCAGGTAGACAAAATTCTATGCTAGTAACTCAATATAAACAGCAAAAGTTCATCTAAAACCAGAAATCTTTTTCCCTCCCATAACACTGCAGCAGATTGTCTTTCTGCTAAGCACTTGGAAAGCCTTTGCCAATTATTCCAGCTCACATCCAGATACAAAATTGCCACTGTGGATATTTAAGTCCAAAAGAAAAAAGCGCATGACTTGCTTGTTTGTAAGGTACAAGAGGCTTCATTTGAGATGTCAAACCAAGTTGTCCAAGTGCAGGTGCTCAGTGCTTCCTACACCACCTCTGTGTCACGCTTCCTGAAGCTGTTCATCATAGCTCTGACAGGATTGGGCTCGTTCTCCAAGTCTTTCACAGTTTTGTTCTTCACGCAGCAGCAGCAGTCCAGCAGCTCATACAGGAAAGCCAAGACCACCAGAGAAACTACAGTGAAGATGAATATGATCAGGATAACAAAGCAGGCAGTGTTCCAGTTGTCATGGAAAGGATAAATTTTTTGCACTTGGAAGCCCAGATACTGTGAAATGGATGTAGTAGTCTCATTCCAGTGGGTGCTGTTGAGGGTTGCCATTCTTGAAGAGCTGTCTGAGTATGCTCACTGGCACAGATTTGGGAGCTGAAACACAAAAACAAAGCTGTTGAGGACTCTGTCAATCATAGACATGCTGTGATATTTACCACAAATAACTCAGAGTAAGTGCTCAAAGTTTCTACAAACATGGATTGTTGCATACTCATATTTGCTCACCAAAATATCAAACTCCAAATATGTAAGTTTGTGATAGGACCAGAGCATTTATTTTGGCAGTATCTGGTTCATGCAGGCATCATGTGGTGTAAGTGATTCAGGAATGAGAGAGCTTTCCTTCTTTATTTCAACTATATGCACAAACAGAAAGCTTACAAACTAGATTTTCAAGGTGTGCAGTGGTTTCAACCACCCGTCCATCATCACTCTTGAGGCTGCCACTTGTGTGGTGTGAAAGGCCTTATTATTTTGGAATTGCCTGTCAGCACAGACTTGTTCACCTGGAAAACTCTGGACTTCAGGAGGGCAGATTTCCTGACCTGTTCATTCCCCTGCTCTTGCACTGCTGAGTAGTTTGTGCTGGAGAAACTGGCCTGTCCAGATGGCACTGGGAACATTTGGAAATCTTGTTTGTGATGCTGTAGTGATTGGGGTGGATAATGAGGAAAACCCAACTCTTTCTGAGGAGTTCTTATTTCTTATTTTCAACTCTGCCTAACCCTGGGTTGGCATCTGGCAGAGGAAGAGGCTGCTCTGTGGTGTGGAGGTGATGAAGCAAGAAGTTGACTCCAGCAAATCTGCCTTTGCTCTATAATGTAATAAAAAATTTTCCAAGGAGCTATGGTAACTTCTAGGATGTCATAATAACCTTTGAATCCCTCAGGCAATTTAAAACTGGGTGTGGGAGGAGGAGCTCAAGTCAGGTCTCCATATTTCCTTGAGGAAATAGCAAGGAGTTTTTAGGTGGAACATGGTGGTGATGGTGTCTACTAAAGCAGTCTGAGCACCTGTCCTTATTTCTGTAAAATTATTAAAGAAAAGGATATGGTGAAAATGAGGATCACGCTGCCAAACTAGCTTGTGATCTATGTCTTATTTTTATTGTTCTAATATGAAACATTTTGTTCTTTATCCTTCTGTCTTCTATGGATTTAAATTGAAACAAAAGAGCTTTGTTGTTGGGAAGGTCCTTGGCATTTGTGTTCCATACAGACATTTACTGGAGCAGTTGCAGTAACTTACCGTTTCTTCTGTTAAATCTGTACTGAGTACACAAATTAGTAATTGAATATGCAGTGTATGACTGAGATGGATGGGATTAATTAAATTGTTGGTGTTTTTTTTTCTTTAAACAAAAGTTTACAGAAGCAAATCCAAGCTAAAAATACTTCTGGCTTGAGTCAGGTCCTGGCTTCAAGAGAATGGCTTGATTTGATCACAGTCTGGGAAGGAAACTCAGCCAAACTGTTATGGGGCTAAAAGTCATAAGGGTTTTTGAAGGGGTGGCTTGAAGACTTATTTGAAAATAATCCATGAGAGAAAGAGAGAAGGTGGAGCTGAATAAAAAGATTTGGAGTCCCCTCTGAGGAGTAATTAAAATAAGCAGGATTTAATTGTGTATTTTAAGTGGCAAGAGGATACCTTTGGGAAAGAAAGAAGTTTTGTTTTGAACTTTGTAAACAAATTTCTAGGACTGAGGGTTTTGTTGGAATCTGTTACATATAAGTTTGCTCGCTGTGTAAACACCAGACACAAAACCAGACTGTTTCTGTGATGCAAAATTTAGTAAGTTTTGGTGTTTTTTCTTCATTTATATTGCTCAAAGTGATCAAGATCTGGGGCCACTGGAGGGATTGGTCAGATCTGCTCTGTGTGGCCAGGACCCTTTGCCAGCACAGCTCTCTGCCAGGGCAGTAGCTCTGTTCCCAAGAGGTGAGGAGCATCTTGGGCAGGCTAGAGCTGTGCTGGCAGCATGGCACAGTGCAGCAGCCATTCCCTTCCCTTTCCACAGCCATTCCCTCCCCACTCCACAGGCTTCATCAGGGCAGCCATTCCCTCCCCATTCCACGGGCTCCATCAGGGCAGCTATTCCCTTCCCACTCCACAGCCATTCCCTCCCCACTCCACGAGCTACATCAGGGCTGCCATTCCCTCCCCACTCCACAGGCTCCATCAGGGCAGCCATTCCCTCCCCACTCCACAGGATCCATCAGGGCTGCCATTCCCTCCCCACTCCACAGGCTCCATCAGGGCTGCCATTCCCTCCCCACTCCACAGGCTCCATCAGGGCAGCTATTTGCTTCCCACTCCACAGCCATTCCCTCCCCACTCCACGAGCTACATCAGGGCTGCCATTCCCTCCCCACTCCACAGGATCCATCAGGGCTGCCATTCCCTCCCCACTCCACAGGCTCCATCAGGGCAGCCATTCCCTCCCAACTCCACAGCCACCAATAGGGCAGCAGTTTGCACATTTGTCTTTTTGCCAGGAGGTGGAATTTAATGCTCCTTGAGGAGGAGGAGGATGATCTCCTCAGATTTGAATGGGGCGAGGCAGATAAAAATCTCTCTTTGCTATAATTATTGCAGTACAAGGCTGAGGTAGCTGTTGCTGACTGTTCAGAATTAAAACAGCACCAATGAGGTTAGTGTCCTTGAAAGCTGTCAAAAATGGGCTGGTTTCCTGCAGTTTTACTTATTTTGTAACCGCACAGGTCAGATTCATATCATCAGCCAGTCTGATTTACAATCAAGTCAGCAGTTGTATGTATCCAAAATGCAGTAAGTTAAATATTTAATGCACTAGGTTTTAATTTAAAAGCATTAGCATCTTTGGGCACTGCAGAGGAGCAGCTTTATTTGGAATCATATTCATGGAGTAGAGGGAAATGACTGGCAGAAAATCCTTTTAATGCAGCACTGAGGCAGCCCTGTTTAAGAAAGCTCCAAGCAGGCATCTCGGGGTAAAAGCATTTACAAATCTCAGGTGCATTCCGAGCCGGCTGTTTGCCTTGTACCGATGGCTGCTCCAGTGTTTCCAAAGGTAGCAGCAGGCAGAGGGATTTTCTCCCTACCCAGTGTATGCCACGTTTCTAGAAGGGGTTTCTCCTCCACACACACAGATCTCTTTTAGGCAGCCTAATTTACAGAATACCCCCTGGGAGGTAACATTGCTCACATTTCAGCTGGAGCTGCCTTTGTTTTAAGGAAAACCCTTTCGCTGTCATTTCTGTGAAAACATATAGACTCAATCACAAGGAACATGAGGCTGCAGGAAGCCAGCCACCTCCCCTGTAAGGATGAAATCCATTTTGTTTACTGAATCTTGGCTTGTTGTGTTAGCTCTGCTGTAAGATGGAGTGGTCATCAATTTTCCATTAGTGCACAGATGGTGAAAGTGCTTGTCTGATCGTGCAAGACAAGCTCCTCCGCATTCAGCGGGATAAACCTGCTCAGCCTAGAGAAAAATCATTCTGATTCCAAGAAGCTTTTACAGGTTCTCAGCTTACAGGCATATTTTCTTTCAGTAATCAAGATAAACCTCAGAGAATGTTATAAAATGATACACACCTACCTCTTGTGTGAAAGGATGCTGAGAGAGCGCCGTTCTGGTCCCTTTTTTTAGTGCAGCCTATGGCACAGCTAAGATGGAGCTTTTTTTCCATTGGCCAGAGCACGATGCTGCTGACAACTTCCTTTGTGCTCATTTGCATCGAGCCCTCAACCCCAGGAGTAAATCATTCATAAATGTGACTCTTACTGCCTGGAATGAGAAGCAAAGACCTCCCTGCTCTTGTTTTTTCGGGAGGGGATGAGCTCGTTAGCAGAGGAGGCGCCTTGGCCACGACCCCGCTCTGCTTTGTGCTGGGTTCAGCCATCAAACCATGACGCTTGAAGTGTTAATATCTGCAGATTCCCAGCCTCACCCTGTGGTTGGATTCTCTTGTCATGGACTGTAGCAGGCTGCAAGCAGGCAGATTAAACCAGATAATCTTCTTGATCCAACTGACAGAACAAAAACGTGATAAATCATCTTAACTGTTTGTTGTACCTCTGAATTTATTTTGGTCACTTCAGAACTCTCATTACATCTTTGATTTTTCTTTTTATTTATAAAATGTCCTACATAGACATTAATTTTTAATCTTAAAAGGGAATCCTGTAGGGCCACATCTTCAGGGGGAGCTGGCTTTTGATTTTTCTTCTTTTAATTTAGTAACCAGAATAAAATATTCTTCTGTAGCTGGAGTTACACTGATTCTTCTATGTTAATTTTAGAATTCTTGTGTTGTGTAAAGCCTTTAAGACAATGTCATGTAACAGCTTCACAATTCTGCTCTTTTCTCTTGATTTTTCCACGGAAATAATAGGAGCTCTGTATCTCTGAGATAACTGTTGTCCTATGTCTAGATGTGCTTAGAAATCACCAGAGGATTAAACAATCCCCGTGGTGACAAAGAGATGGTGTTCTTTTTCTGGAGTAGCTGAAATTCCAGAAAACTGTTGCCATTAGGTTTGAGCAATGTTGTGCTGGTAATGAGCCTGTGGCTTGTGATAGTGGTTTGTGGATATTTGTGTTTAATGTGCTGTGCTAAGAGCTGACATTAATGAAGTGGTCATTAACATCCTTGCAAGAACTTTGGAAACAAATTGATAGCGAACCTCATGATAAAGACAGCCAGAGTTGACAACAGAGGGGGTCCTGAGTTGTTGTTCCAGGGATGCAACACACCAGTGAATTAGATTGCGTTTGTATGGCTCTGTATAATAAATTCTCCACTAGAACTACTTGAAACAATATATATTTTTTTTTTAAATCACAGCCTTCCTTTACCTGCTGTGTAACCATTGAGTGCCTTTGGGGAAGAAGGGAAGCTTTGTGCCCCCATCTCAGCATCAGGAAGGTATTGGTGGTACAGATACAGTGCATTATTTCAGCGTGGATTCATGTAGTGTAAATGATTATGGGATGTTAAGCCACCAAATTAAACATGTTCTCTTGCGGCAGTAACTCTGCAGTCACTTGCTGCTTTCTTATCTTTCTGTTTGTGGAGTTCTGCTCAGAAATGTTCCAGAGCTGTGTCCTCTGGGTCTGGATCAAGATGTGTGCAAGGACTCACCTGAGGGTGGCTGCTTCTGACACTCCTGTTTCTGTCCACAACTGTCGATTCAAAAAGCTGCTGGAAGTAGAGGGAGAACCTGATGGAGCTGAGAGCCAACAGGAAGCTATCAAAGCACCCTCTAATTGTTTGTTTTCTTTCTTTGTAGATCACAGCAATGGATCATTTAACTTGAAAGCCCTTTCAGGAGGCTCTGGCTACAAGTTTGGAGTCCTTGCTAAAATAGTGAATTATATGAAGGTATTGGTGTTTTGGTATAAAATAATACTGGTTTTAAATAGTTTAATTGTTTATTGTCCTGTGGGAGCTGAAAAATGTTTCAACCTCTGAAATACTTTTACTGCAAGAAAATTTCAAGAAACTGCTTGTTAAATTCAAAGTGCTGTCAGTAAATGAAATTGTCAGCATATTGTTCCATAACTGAAATCCTGATTATCCCAGCTCACTTTACAACCAAGATAATGGGGTTTATTGCAGGAATTTCAAGATCCTGTCAATTTTTGGGATTAATAGGCTAGTGATAAAAATAAAGTGTAATTTGTTTCCAATCTTAGTTACATTTTGGTGGTGGAGTTGCTGAATGAAGTGAAATGAATGAGCTGTAAGAGATCCTGTTTGCTTTTCCAGACCCGGCATCAGCGCGGTGATACACATCCCTTAACCCTGGAAGAGATCCTGGATGAAACACAGCATTTAGATATTGGACTCAAACAGAAACAATGGTTAATGAGCGAGGTAAAGGAAACACATGTTCAGATTTTCATCAAAGAATTCTGAAAAACCTGAATTATACACATTTACTAAACCATTAAATATGTAGTCCCTCCTTCAATAAACTCCTAAGTCGGACTGTAACATTCCGTGCTGGCAGCACTAATAATCTGGGGAACAGAAACTTCTGCTGTCATAGTGTTGGTTGTGAGGGAAGCTTGACTTTGCTGAAGTCTTCCAAAAGCTAGCTCCAGGTTTCTTCCATAATGAACCAGAATATCAGAATGGAATGGAAGAGCTCTTCCCAAGAAGCGTATATAAAATTATCACTGAGCTTTTGCCAGATGAGAAGAGGTAAACAAATAACCCTGCAGCACCAAAGTTGGTCCCTTCCCTGTTAGAGGTGCTCTGTGTCATGGTGAATTATGCCTAGGCTGGTGACCTAGGATCCAAGGGCTTAGAATCTGTTTAAACTCAAACCTTCAGCCTGGCAGCTGTAACGTGTGGTTCATGTGCTCAAAAGCACACCAGAAAAAAAGTAGTAAGTGCCTGCACTGTTTCAAGGTTTGAAATTTCTGTCCCTGTTACAGGCTTTAGTCAACAATCCGAAAATAGAAGTTGTGGATGGGAAGTATGCCTTCAAACCCAAGTACAACTTGAAAGACAAAAAAGCTCTGCTCAGACTCTTGGACAAGCATGACCAGCGAGGGCTGGGAGGAATCCTTCTGGAAGACATCGAAGAAGGGCTGCCCAATGCACAGAAAGCCATAAAGGTGAGGAACACGTGTCTGCAGTTCAGCTGTTCACTTCTCAGAGGGAAGAGAGTCACTAAGAGTTTACTCATGAGTTGTTTCTGTTCTTTTGATAACTCAGAAGCCATTTCAGCAGATCTGATATTGTGGCCTTTTCTGTATTTCATCCTTTACATTCAGATTTTCCCTGATGTCTCAGCACAGCTCTCAGAACTCTTTCTCACAAAAGACTCCTGATCTCCCACATTCCAACTGTAGGCATTTAGTTCAGCTTTCACAACTTGACCTCAGTCCTCTGAATCTCATTTTTGATTTATTAGTGTACTCATGTGTTTCATGGCCAGTTACTTTGCAGCTTCTCCAGTTTGTTGTTGCTTTTTGTAGCACAAGGTCTGGCTCTGTTGGAGTTGGAGACCTTCAGCTTGGAAACGAAGTGATTTTGAGTTGTTGTTTTGCATTTGTTTTTGAGGCTTTAGGGGACCAGATCATCTTTGTTAATCGCCCTGATAAGAAGAAAATTCTTTTCTACAATGACAAGAGCTGTCACTTTGCTGTGGACGAAGGTAGGTGTTGTTTTACATAGGTCTTCATGACATCTGAATTCATCTGATCTGAATTCATCTTAAATACCTCTGTGTATAAGCAGCCTTCAGGTAGAGCAGTCTTTTAGGTTGATAATGAAATATTAGGTGTGTCCAGATGCGAGGGCAGTGTTTATATTAACACAAGGCTAATGAGACCAGCAGGTGAGTTCAGTGGCAATACCCTCTGCTTTATGATGGCTACATTGGAACATGGCACCAGGAATCCAAGAGTTGTCTTCAAGAGTAGTGATACAGAAGAGACTAAAAACCACCTCACTGTGAAAGAAATGGCAGCTAACATTTTTCTGCTTAAGGGGAAGCCAAAAATACCCCAAAAGGATGATTTGTGGGTGCAAGATTTTTGTTGGTTATTTTCCCCTTTTATTTACCTTGTGCCTTTTATTGGTGAATGCAGCAAGAAGGCATAAATGGAGCAGAAGGAGGAATGTGGATGAGGATGAGGAACAGAGGGATGAGATGTGAGCAATATTCTTGAGAAGGGGGTGGTTACAACTGGGAGGAGAGCACAGATATGGGGCAGTGGTGCTGCCCAAGGCTGGAGTGGATTTGGGGCTTCACACATTCAACATGTTTGTTGTGTCACAAATAGTGGTAAAATCCTCTGGTGCCATTTTATGCACAGAAGTCAATTACAGAAATCAGGGTGTGTTCCAATAATGACATAAATGCCAACATCAGGTGTCTGTAAATGCAGAAAAGGGGAAGGCAGTCTGTGTCAGAAGATCTTATTTTGAATGACTCAATGATACTGAACACTTTATTTTTTTAATGTATTGTTCCTGTAACATGACACATAAAGCCATAGCATCACATTATGTATGGTAAAAAAAGGTGTTTTGGTACAATTTTGAACTGCTCTACTTACAGGACCACAGGAGGATGCATAAAGATTTTTGTTTCTTTGCCAAACTCCAAGGGAATCTTTATTTCCAGTAGAATTTAGCAAATGAAGATGTGTATCATTAACTATTTGTTATGAACTGAGAGTACACACTTGTAATCTCAGTAATTATAGTTCTGTTTCACAAAGGTGATGAAGTAGAGGTGACATCTAGAGCAAATAAAAAAAATCTCAAGATGTTGAAGTGGATTTCTTTATAAACAAGAATTTCTATCATTTATTGGTAGCAGCAGTGAAACTGTATGCAAAATGCAGAATGGATTCACTTGGGATTTCTGATTTCCAAATGTTTAGGAATTTAGTCAGTGCTCTTGCAGTAACTTTTGAGACAGAGCTTTTAAGTTTTAGCCACTGGTTGTATCATAGTCATGTTGCTAAATGAACGTTTTTTCTTGTGCAATTTTTTCCAGATAGCAGGAACCCAACCATACTAGAAGAGTTATCAGAGGGAGGTCTCTACCCTGCTGCTATTAGCTTCTAATAACTCCAGGATTAGCTGTGAAATTTCATAACAGAGCCTGTTTTGTTAAGATGTAGACAGAGGCATCAGGGAGCCAGGATAAATCCCGGGCTCCTCTTACACAAGACAAGCAATGCAAGCTATTGCTGCCAGAGGGAGGAAGAGGTTAAAAAGCCCCTTTAAAACGCCTGGC